CTCACAAGAACTTCGAACAATACCACTTGCGCTATCATGAATTCTGTCCCTACTCCTCCTCCTCCTCCTTTTTCATGTTTGGCCTCCCCGGCTTTGCTGGGGTTACCTATGCCTGTATCGACAGTAGCGTTGGACACAAGTCCTAAAAAGTTTCAGACTAAAACTCACAATGAGGTCGTATCAGCCTCTGATTCCTACTCTGCCGTCGTCACAACTACTATTTCAGCTTCAGAGGTTTTGAAGACTACAAAGTCAGGAGTCGAGACTGATACATCTCAGATTACTTTGCCTCAATATACTTATGCTATTATTCCTACCTCTGATCCATCCCTCACAACTCCTGCTAGTTCCATTGAGGTGTCGCTAGACGGAATGTGTCAATCTATCTCTAAATTTGAGTGCCAGCCAGTTATCAAATTAAACTCTGAAGTTAAGCCTATTTCCTCATCAGACAATGGATTTCCTATACCGACCAGTCTCTCCTGCTCTCGATTAGTCTGTGACTCAGACCAAAGCCATTTCAGTCAACCTATTAGGCCAGATTTCGAGACGGCGATAGATTCTCCCGCCTCAATCGATGCTGTTGGACCAGATGGCACCTCTAAGTCGGTTCTGAATTGTGCCCTGATCGAGTGAGTATTTCTGTTACATTCACCTTCGTGTCATCTCTCTATTTAATATATATATATATATATATCGAATTTTATTTAGCCTTGTCTCCAAACAGCCTTCTAATCCAGACGAGACTTCACCTAGTTCTCACCAGCACTCCCGGCGAGATTCGATACTAGGTCGTAACTTTCCTAGTGACTCCATTTCATTGCGACTTGTGCAAGTGGCAGATGCAGTATTCATAACAGTAGTGTACTGTGATCCTTTGAGCGGCATTCATGGAAACTCTTCACACTCCACACTGCCGTTCTCGCCTCCTTCACCCTTGTGTTGCGAATGTTGATCAGAGTGCCATATTGTTACGCATTTCTCTTTTCCTAGGTCTTATTACAGTCTTTATCTTGCCCCGTAAGATCCGTCTGCTCTCTGGTTCACGTATTTCACTCGATCCTTGCCACCCCATCTGTGCTACTCAAGGCGTTATTCGCCATACCCTGCGCCTGGATGATTAATTCGAGGCTAAAGCCTCTTAGTAAGTCTCATGGTCACAACTTTGCTACATGGACCACATTTCTGGTAAGACCTACTGTTAGCCAACTAGCTCCAGTCTCCGCCGCGTTTATCATCTTTCTATCCTTAATACCAAGTCTATGACTTCCCATGCCATAGTCTCTTGTGTGCGAACCCACAAACGTGGTTTAGCATAGAACCTAATCAAAGTGAGCAGTATCACACCATTTGTGGGTTGGTACACAAGATATTTTTTCGTATGAAATGATGGACATGGTATTACAGGTAGAAATAGGAAAGACGCGGTGGAGACTATTTGGCTAACAATAGACGTTTTTGATCATTTATGTGATCCTTGATTCACGACTATTGTTAGCCATCTAACTCTAGCTTACGCTGCTTCTATCCATTTCTATCTATAATACCAAGTCTATGACTTCCTATACCCTAGTCTCTTGTGTGACAACCCACAAATATTGTGGTTCTACATTGAACCTAATCAAAGCAAGCAGTACCACAACATTTGTGGGTTGGTACACAAGAGACTAGGGCATGGGAAGTCATAGACTTGGTATTAGGGATAGAAACAGGATAGACGCGACAGAGACTGGAGCTAGTTGGCTGACGGTAGGTCTTACGAGAA